GTGTAAACTCATCAGTCTAGTCATTAAAACAGACCCAGTAACTAATAGAAGATACACACTCCATTATTAGCCGGACCTACTGTTCATGAAATCCCATCTTTAACATCAATCTCTCCAAAAAGCTCCATTCAACTCTATCATAGGCTTTATTCATATCTAGCTTAACTGCACAATAACTAGAAGACCCATGTGTTTTCCTTTTTATAGTGCAAAAGCATTCATACGCCACCAACACGTTATCAGTGATCAGCCTTCCTGGTACAAAGGCACTCTGCATAGGAGAAATAATCTCTGGGAGAATTCTCTTGAGTCTGTTAGCAATCATCTTTGAGATAATTTTATAAACCACATTACAGGGACTAATAGGTATGTATCGTGTTATTACCTCTGGACTATCCACCTTGGGGATTGATAACCCACAAGTATAGGGGATCATGATAGTCTTCGAGGGTAGTATTTGACACAATTTATTGATTTGACATAAGGGGAGCCAAAGAATATTTATATGCCTTAGTAGTGGAGTTGTCAAACTAACCACACTTGGAAACTTGTTTCTCTGCAGCAAAGTATTTAGTAGCACAATAGTTTTATAGTCTTGATAGTAGCGGCAACAGTAGCAACAGTAGCAGTTTTGTAGTGATTGTATCAGTAGCAGCAACAATAGTAACTTAGCAAAGACAATATGAGCAAAGCATATGCATTGGGTCAATGATGGTTATTTGTGTGGATGACATTCACCATGTAAAAGTCACAACCTAGAGTGATATACAATAGCTCCTATTCATCAATGCAATGTAGGCATGTATTCTGTATATAGTCATATATACGTGCTTATAATAAGAACTTGCGTGACATCTTTTGTCCTACCCTCCCGTGGCTGCGGGGTCCATAAGGAAATCTAAGGGATATTAAAGGCCTCCTTTTAATAGAGAACCGGGACAAAGCATTACACATACTGAATACATGAACTCCTTGAATTATAGTTATCCTGGGAGAGTATCCCAATTATTGTCACCTTGGGGTCTACGAATTAGAACAATAACAAGTGCATATGACTAGCAGATAGGATCAACATCTCAAATATATTCATGAAAACATAGAGGATACAGATCTGAAATCATGTCACTTGGGCCCTAGTGACAAACATTAAGCATAGAAAACTCATAGCAACATCAATCTCAGAACATAGTGGATACTAGGGATCAAGCCCTAACAAATTGACTCGATTACACAAATTGACTCGATTAGATGACAAAATCTCATCCAACTCCATCACCGTCCAGCAAGCCTACGAAGGAATTACTCACTCCCGGTGGTGAATGATGGCTCTATATTTTACGCATTTTTAGAGCTCATCGGTTGCATGTTCTCTTCATATATCATGTCCCGTTGAACCAAATATATGTCCATTATGCATGATTACCGGTTTTGCAATTATCATTGCACATTTGTGTATTTATTTGGTTTTTATTACTTTTCCTTTTTTTTCTTGTGTCTATAGGTGTATTGGAGCAACCTAGGACCAAGCACGATGAAAGGAGCAATGATGGGTTTGATACGGAGTCAGCCAGGGGTCAGACTTAGCCATTTTGAAGGTCAGGAAAGTCATTTTTAAGGTGCTCCAAATCACTATTTAAGACCAGAAATGTATCAGCGTCGTTCATAAGAATCCAACGACCCCAAGAACATCAAAATCCGATTTCGTATGAAGAAATGCCGGTCGTTTTACCAGAGAGAGATTACACAAAAAGACAGTACGAAAGACAGTGTTCGAAACGACCGTTTGCCATCATTTCAGCGGTCTTTTGACATGCAGATTGCTCCAAAAGTTGCCCTTCCAGATTGGTTTCTTGATTGATTTTGTCCCCAATTGTTCCCACGGGATCCTTGGCTCATAATGAAGGGATTGGCAGAAGATAAGGCTCATCTTGAGCCCTTGGATGACCACATTAACAGAGGAGATACCGGGAGGCCTTCATATAAGCACCATCAACCCTAGCCACCTCTTGCTCACATTCATTCATCCACGCAGTCGTCATCCATCTCAATTGTTGCTCCAAGACCACCTCCATAGAGAAGAGAAGATCCGAGCCAAGGGGAAGAAGAAGGGGTGCCTCCACCATGTGCACCGGCCTTCACTGTCGGCGCGCCATCATCATCACTGGCGCTGCCATGCCCTTGTCCTCCACCAGCTTCATGCCGGCTTGTAACTTGCTCTTTCCCTCTATGATGTTTGAGTAGTTGTGTTAATTCTTGAGGAATTGGATGAACC